TGCAAGGAAATGTCCCTGGTGTAGTGTCTGGCACTTGCTAAGTGATTAAATGTCGGCTTTTGGCCTGGGCAATATCTCATGCCTGTAATCCTAGCACTCTGGAAGGTTGAGGCCAGGTGGGTTGCTGGAACTCAGGAGTTTGAGACACCCTTGAACAAGAGTGGTGGGTGTGGTGGTGCACACCTATAATCCAGCTACTTGGAAGTTGAGGCAAGAGGATTTCTTGAGTCCAAGAGTTTGAGCTTTCTGTGAGCTATGGCAGCAGGACACTGTACCCAGGGTGACAGAGGGAGACTCAGTCACAAAAAAACAAAACAGAAAAAATGTCAGCTCTTAATTATTACCACCAGAAAGCGTTATATACAGCAATGCTTTCTTAAAAGAATATACTACACATTGTCCAGCCGTCTGTGAGTCATTGTCAACATGATGGGAGTCTGTGCTTGGACCAGCACACAGCAGAGCCCCAATTTACTTTTTATGTCCCATCTCTTCCCTCCTGCTTGTCGTACAGTCTCCAGATCCAGCTCCCTGTCTGATCCCTCATCAACTCTATACTAGGGAATGAATTCGCATGGCAAGTTAAAAATTGGATCTTAAATAACTCAAGGCTCCAAAGGCATCTAGTTTTAGGATATTTTTACAATAGAATCCAAAAACTCAGAGCCTTACTTGCTTTCTGGGCTTAAAAAAGTACACTGGAGGCTGCTAAAAGTTGGACCAGCAAATAACTAAATTGTTGTCAAATCAGTAAATGTTTTCCAAGCAATTAGACTGGAATCTAGGATGTTGGGGCCTGAAAGGGCATTAATATTATAGAGGCCAAATTGTCATTTTACAAATGCAAAAACTGGAGCCCAGGAGAGTGTGGATTAACTTCAGACTCTACTCAAACTCTATGGTGATAAAACCAAAAAGACAACCCTTCAGGCGTTCTGGCAGCTAATCAACTACTTTTTCTCCAGGACCATGCTATCACTTCTTTTTTCTCTTTTCCCCTAGTCTTCAGTATCTTGGTTTTTTTACTTCAAAATATTAAGGTGTTGCAAATGTTTTCGCTACATGGATAGAGTTTATAATGCTTCAGTCAAGGTTATGTGTGTGCCCAGCACCCAAATCTCTCTTGATTGACTATTTCTAGTTAACAGATTCAAATTAGCTGGAATGCTTTACTACACTAGTAGTCATATTTCTCTTTGTTCTCTCACAGGCTTTGGTCCCACACAGTCTTGTCTCTCTGTTTTTGCTCAGTTTGGCTGAAACATGGAAGACGATGTTGAGCTCCTCTGAGAGCCAGGGCCACGCCTATAAATCCAGGCCAGGCTACCTCCAAGCTATGCTCTTTTAGGGAGCAGTGGGTAAATGTGTGCTCTTAGCCATAGAGCATAAAGCATTCCTTTTAAGAGAAGAGAGATTTGCAGAAGCAAAAAATAGGAAGATAATCTGCAGGAGAAAAATGTTTGGCCCCTCGTGTGCCTGAGGATTTGGCATGCCTTCCTGCTTTCATTTCTTCCACCCCTTCCCAGCCCATCTCCTTCCCTGCTGAAGTCCTAGCAAGAAATGCCACCGATGAGGGCCCCAGAGGCCCAAAGTAGATGTGTGAAACCACGGAGACGATGTGAGGGAGTAGATCTGGAACAAAAGATTTCTATCCCATGGGATAATAATTCATTACAGCAAGGGGAGAGAAAAAGATCCTAAAAATACTGTAGAGAGCATATTATAATATTTTAACAAGGTTTATGGGCTCCCCATATACACTTCACCCTCTAAGATGGATTGTGCATTTTGACAAATCTATATTTAACACAGGGAGAATAATATATGATGTATGCTTTCTGGTAGAGAAATCATATTTATGGAAATCATGATTCTAGTAATTACAACAGACATATAAAGACAGTGCCTATTGTGGGCTGTGGACAGATAGTGTCCTTATTGGGGTGAAAGAGAATATAGTGTGAGTGGTAGAGGATAAATAGGTACCCTATCAGTCAGGTCAGGAGAGTAAGAAGTCCAGGTGACACAACAGTCATCTATTTTCAGGTACAGTCCTCCTCATCCCCTACCACAGGTCATGTGACTCTCTCATCCAGTGTTTATCATTCATTCATTTATTCATTGAGTATTTATCAAGAACCTACAGTGCCTTAGATGCCTTGCTGGCTTTTGGGGCACACATGAGACCCCTATTTTCTTTTGTTTTATTAACTTTTTTAAATTTTCAGATAAATGTGAGGGTGCAAACAACTGGGTTATGATGTTTGCATTTGTTAGGTAGAGTCCCTCTTGTAGGTGTGTCCCACCCGCAGGAAGTGTGCCATGTGTCCTTACACTGTGCCCATTAAGTGGGAGCACATCAATCCCCCTCCCTCCTCCCCTCTACTCCCTTCTTGCTTCCCCCTCCCTCTCCCAACAACTTGAATTGAATTGAGTTTTTCTTTTATGCAGGCATGTATTAGATTTTCTGCTGGTTGTTTGTATTAGTATTGGGTACATTGGATATTTGCTTTTCCATCCTTGTGATGTTTTACTAAAAGAATTTGTTTCAACTCCATCCAGGTTAATACGAAACATGTAAAGTCTCCATCTTTATCATGGCTGAATAGTATTCAGTGATATATTCCTGTGTTTATGGGCACTGGGTTCTTTCCACATCTTGGTGATTGTAAACTGAGCTGCAATAAACAGTCTAGTGTGAAAGTCCTTATAATAAAATGATTATTTTTTCTTCTGGAGACCCCTATTTTTGAGGATTCACATTAACTCAGATAGCCATAAATATATGCAAGAAAGCCAAGAAAATTATCAGATAAAATAAATAGAGTATGAGAAATAAGATAAGATGATGTGATACAAACTCATGAAGTTCAGGAGAGGAGGTGGGGTCACTACTTAGAAGAGGTGATAAAATAAGGCCCATTCAAGGAGGTAGGATCTGAGCTGAGGTACAACTGCTGAGAAGGAGTAATCTTTACAGAGAGGTAAAGGGAGAGCAGAAAGAGAACAGCTAGTGCAGCCTCCCGGCAGAGTGAGCTTGGAGCCCTGAGAAACAGTGCAAAGGCCAGTGTGATAGAGAAGGGAGCGAGGAGATTGATGTAAGGTAGGAGAGGCAGAGGGGCAGGCTGCTGGGGCTCTGTGTCATGACCAGAGGATAGGGGATTATTCCTGTGTGCAATGGGACACCTTTGAGAGGTTTTGCATGAGGTAGGGAAGTAATAGGTTTTCATTAATAAGATCCATCTGGCTTCTATATAGACAATGGATTTTGTTATTGAAAACATAATGCCATAAAACTCAAGGTCACCACCTTCAGATACCAGGAGGATTATGGAATGGGCTAAGAACAGGTATTCCATGAGGTTCTGGTTGAGTGGTCCAACAATGTGCCAGTCATGCACAATGTGCTACTTGAGAGGTAGTGAGGGCCCAGTACCTGGAAGTATGCAGGCAGATGTCAATGGTCACCTGTCAGGTTTCCTGCAGATGGTTTGCTGGTTGTCAGTGGAAGTGGCACAGATGACTTAAGTGGTTCAGCTAGAGACAGACTGATAACTGAGACTCACAATAGACAATTGGGAACTAGTGCCTAATTGAATTCTTTAGTGCAACATGGCCCAAAAGATTTTCGGTAACATGTTAAAAGCATTCACCAAGAAAGGAAGTGAGAACAAATAAATTGACAAAATTTGTGTTCAAGTTGAACAGAATTCTTTACAATCTTTTATGCTGCTTATGTGCAGTATAAAACTCCAAGACAAAGACAGAGTATATACCATTTCCCAATTCATTTATCCAAAGAAGGATTTTCTTTTCTAAGACACATCTTGTGGGACTAATGTTTCATGGAACACATTTGGGCAGTGCTCACATGGCATAATTTGAGACCCCATACACACAGGTCATGTGGGGTTATGTGAACAGATGAATATGGTGAAACAACAGAATATCTAGGAGGGTCAACATTTTTATTCTAAAAGAAAAAACTGATAATACCTAGCCACACAGTTGTGATGAGGACTGTGTACATGAAAGGACTGCAAAGCACTCCCAAATACTGTTACTGTAGTGAGGATGACCGACATCTTTACCATCTGCTTTGGGAATGTAGATTTCAAGTACTGGGGATGGTCTTGGTGTCGGGCCCTCCACTGAGGCAAAGATTGTGAACTCTCATCCTGTATCACAGAGTAAAATAAAGTTTAGGAGCTAACTGACCTGGAGTATGATCCCATAACTGTGGTCTTACTAGCAGTATATCCTACACAGTGGATTCCATGGAAATGTTTACACAGCTAAGTTATTACTAGGGCTGATATACTGGGAGAGGGGACTAGCACAGAGTGTAAACACAAAATGAACATCATCAGAGAAATGTATACTGAGGGGTAAGAGCCAGGCTGAGGAAACCAACACTTGTTTCCTTAATCACGTATCGGCAGCAATAGCCGAAGATGTTCCTCTTCCTGTAGCATCTTCTTATACTTTGCTTTGAAGTCATGGACAGTATAATGGAAAGATCAATGAAATAAGAGTCAAGCTATCTGTTCAACTCAGATATGTCCTAGCCCAGATGCTTTGAACAGGTTCACTAACTTTCTAAGCCTTGGTTTTCCCCTTTAAAAAATGATGAAGGCATTGCTTTCTTAGCTTAACAGGGTCATTATAAAAAGTGAGATAATATGTGAAAATGCCTTGTAACATGGCTGCTATAATTAATAATTATACAACAACACCTGAAAGGTAATAAGTACCTAATTAAATTGGATTTAGACAGTCAGTTTTTCAGGAGATTGTCTGGGTTGGATGGACAGTTGGATAGATGGGTGAGTTGAAAGGAAGGATAGATGGATGAGTTGGTTGGATGGGTAAATGGCTAGATGATGGATTGATAGGTGATGGGTTGGTTGGATGAACTAGTGGATGGATTCATTTTGGAACATCTGAATGCTCGTTCACAGAATCTTCTATCCGTTAATCCTTCCTTTCTCTTCTTCTAGTCTGTTCCCAGTTCTCCAAAGGAGTCTACGCCATCTTTGGGTTTTATGAACGTAGGACTGTCAACATGCTGACCTCCTTCTGTGGGGCCCTCCATGTTTGCTTCATTACGCCAAGCTTTCCTGTTGACACATCCAATCAGTTTGTCCTTCAGCTGCGCCCAGAACTGCAGGATGCCCTCATCAGCATCATCGACCACTACAAATGGCAGAAATTTGTCTACATTTATGACGCCGACCGAGGTAAGCCAGGACTTAGGGGAAGGAGACTGATGAGAAATAAAAAGAAAATTGCCACCAGGGAAGAGAGTGATGCCTCACTACCCCCTTGAAAAGCATAGGGGATGGTCCAAGGGCTTTATTTTGGTGAACTTATTTTCTGATAGTTAACTCTAATTCATAGTGTGGAAACAGATCCTTTGAGAGAGCAACCCTCTTAATGCACCATGTCCCTCTACAGCTTACCAAGTTTCCGCAGCTTCTGAATCCAGACTCAAATCTTCAATTGACTTATTCATTGTTCATGCCACGATTGTGAGGGATGTAGACTCTGGAATCAGACAGACCTGGATCTGAATCCTAAATTCTCTCCCCTCTAGTTGCTTAACTTTGGGCAAGCTCTCTCTGCCTCTGTTTCAGCATTTATGCAATGGTGATAAAATTCTCTCTGCCTTCAGTTACTCATGTCTGTAATGAAGATAAAAACAGTCTAGTGGTGTGAAGACTGAATGAGGTAATTGACTACAAAGTCAATTCAGAATGCAGTGTTCAGTGCTGGCAGTGTAGTAAAGACTCAGAATTCTCTAGATGCGTACGTTAGATACTATCATCATCGTCATCGTCATGCTTCTCTGGCCTTCTGATTCTGCCTCCTTTGAATTTTACAACACATTTTCCAAATGTTTCCTATCCTTTTTTCTTCTCTGTATCATTCCTCATGCTATTCTGGATTTCTGGAATGCATCTCTCTTCTCAAATCTACATATGTAAATCCTTTCTCTTATTTGCAGCCTGCTCAAATACCATTTTCTGTATTCCCTGATTCTCTGCATGGGAACTTTTTTCTTTTTTCTAACCCCTGTGGTGTTCACCTTATATGGTTCTCTTTCCCCTGGTATACTGAAGAGTCCTGTAAGAACTTAGTCATTGTTAGTGTAAATAAATGAGCAGGTCATGCAAGGCCTGGAAGCCAGCTGAGGCTGAGCACTATTGCACTGATGTGGTTGCCTGCAGGGAGTCTTAAAAGACTTCTGAGCAGGAGAGTGGCTTGTGAAAGTGGTTTTTCAGGCAGCTAGGCAGGCATTATTCAGATGGGCAAGGAGCTAGCAGAAGGAGAAACCAGAAGCACTCAATTTTCTTCGATTTTCCCCTTCCCTCTCCTTATTTTGATGATTTCCTTTCTCAGCCAGCAGCCTTTGTGGGTGTCACCTGGAGAAGGTGTATTTCAGGATAGCTTTGTGGCATAATGAAGCTTGAGGCCTGAGAGTGTTGAAGCTAGAAAAATGTTACTTTCCTTGTGGGGTCAGCAGAAACACCCACGTTCTCAAAAGGGCTCTATCTCCTTCAGAACTCACAGCTCTGCCATTTTCTAGCTGTATGACCTTGGATGAATGGCTTCCACAGCTGTAAACCAGGGGTATAATAATACCTACCTCATAGGGATAAATGGGTTAAAGATGGGAAAGCTGGCAGAACGGTGCCAATACACAGTAAATTTTAATAAATATGAAACTTAACACATCAGACAACTTGTACTGAAATAAAAAAAGATAGGAAGGCTTATAACAGAGTCAATATATAAATGTCAGTCTGTAAATGATTCCTGAGGCTAGGCAATGTATAGGTCACTACTGAAGATAGATGAGCAGTGTCATTGAAAGTCACAAATGACAAAAATACAAAAGATTGATTAATAACGCAAGAGCAAAGTAACCATTTGTGATGAGCAGAATAATAACCCCTTCCCCAAATATATTTACGTTGTAATGCCTGGCAGCTACAAATATGCCTGTGTTATGTGGCAAAGGGGAATTATGGCTACAGATGGTAGTAAGTCTGCTAATCAACTGACCTGAAAATAGAGAGATTATCCTGGATTAGTGGGGTGGACACAATGTAATCACAAGAATCTTTAAATACGGAAGCTGGAGTCAGAAGAGTTAATGTCAAGGTGATGCAATGTCAGGAAGACTCAGCTACCATCATTAAACTTGATGATGGAAGGGGCTGAATGCCAAGGAATGCAGATCTCCCCCAGAAGCCCGAAAAGCAAGAAAATGAATTTTCTCCTAGGACCTCCGGAAATCACCACAGCCCTGTTGTCATCTTGATTTTAGACTGGGAAGACCTATCTCAAATATCTGACCTCTGGAAGTAACAGATGATAATAAATACCTGTTGTTTTCATCTACTCACTTTGTGGTGATTTGTTGCATTAGCAGTAAGAAACCAATATTTCATTTAAGTCTCCAAAACGAAATGGAGCTATGTTGAGTAATGGCTCCTCCAGCCATTTAGGCATAAGTCAGAAGGGAATAGTTTAATTCAGTACACGTTTATTGAACACCTACTGGGGAGAGACAAAGTACTAGGTATTAAGGATATTATATTAAACATTCGCACACTTGATTAACAGTTATTAGGTATCTATTTAGATTCTAGATTGGCCCATTTAGTAAGCAGTTACTGAATGCCCAATAATAATAACAGCTAGCATTTATAAAGCACTGGCAGGTATCAGCGCCTGCCATGTGTCAAACATTCTCATTTATTCCTCAGGATGACACTGAAGTGGGCACTCCTTACATCACCACTTTATCTTTAGAGAAACCAAAGTTGGAGAGGCTGATGAGGCTGTCCAAGGTGATTACGCCAGTATGTTGGATTTGAGCCTCCAATTATAGTTTTAGTCAATCCATCTATGATGTTCTGGGAACAGAAACACAGCATCTGACCTCTGAGTTCAGACTCCTGCAGCCAAAGCAAGCTGGACCTGAGCTCAGTGGAGGGATAGGGTTGGGAGCAGGGAGGGAGGGTGGGTGCGTGATGGAAGTGAGGGG